ATTCTGAATGTATTTTTCCAAATTAGCTGTATAATTATTTTAGATATACGCGTATACCCTAAACCTAATGCTTAAATCATTACGTAATACTTATTTAAGTACATATTTGCAAATTTCATAGTTGTTCGATGATTTTTTGATGAATTATTTTAATTATATTTTAGGATCTTAATGCAGTTTCAAGCTCATCAGAACCTGGGGTTCTTATTCATGCAATGTCAAACCGTATGTCAAGATGTCCAGATATTAATACGCGCTTGCAAGACTGTCAAGTTGGTTTGGTGCCAGAGGATATCGTCAGGCCTATGATTGTCTATAAGGACAGCAGAACTGGAAGAATGTAAGCATTGGCAATCTTTGATGCATTGATTAAAATCCTAAATTTGCATATCATAAATTCTTTTCATTTGTTTATTTTTTTTAATATCTAAGAAATAGAATATAAAATAATATAATCTCTAAATTTCCAATAACTAATTAAATTAAAATTTGAATTTGAATTCATAATCATATATCATTTACGACCAAACCTTTTAGGCATGAGAGAATTATGATAATTAAGAAATAAATGCTTAATAGATATTCGTTTCTAATGGTCAATAGATATATTTTTCTTTTCGATGTAGCTTTTGCTGAATAAGTACCCTTTTTCATGGAGTTTCCAGCGATATGAAATCTTTTTATACTTTTTCTTTTTTCATCGTATATTCATCTTTAGTAATAGATTAAATGTCAAATTTTATAACGTCGCAGCTACAAGCATTGTACTTCTTATCGCAAGCACATATTGAGTCAAAACTAATTAAATATTATTACTTCCCATTACAAAGAAAGGCTCGAAAATATGGTGCCTTGTTAACATGGCTTCTTTCTAGGCAAGCAGCCTACAACACCCAGTATTAAATATATTTTTTTTGCTTAGTAGGGAAGAGTGAACAAATCTATTTCTTTATTTGTGGCATAATACCTCATATATATATTGGATAGCTATGTAATTTCTTAAGACATGCCTTCCAGTTAATAAAAAGCATTAAAAATAAATTTTGCTTATTCATCTATTATTAATTTAGTATTAAGTATGACATTATGTCGAAAAGATAGCTTAGGTATACATTTAAATGAAATAATATTACTTCCCATAACAAAGGAAAGTTCAAAAATATGGTGCCTTGTTAACATCGCTCCTTTCTATGCAAACAGCCTTCAACAGCTAATATTAAATATATGTTTACGCCTAGAAGGTTTAATATGAACAAAGAGGGAAGAGTGAACAAATCTATTTCTTTATTTGTCGTAAAGATAGCTTAGGTATACCTTTTAATTTTATACATAAATACTACTTTTATCAATAAGATTAGCATATACATTTGTAATACTCTACTTTCTAGCATTTTTATATCTTTCACATTTTGATATATATCAAAATTAACTTTTTATATTTTAGATTAGAGACTAAAAAAGAGCAGCCAGGACTTGGTCACATTAAAAATACGAAATTTATTACTAAGGAACAATTGCTAGTCGATAGTGATGTTCATAAACATCATATGAATAATAGACTAATTAGTGACAACAAAGAAAAAGAGGAAATCAGTACAGAGCAATTTCTGGATGATATCACTCGTTCAAGTGAATCAAAACTTGTTATGATGCAGCAGCTACCAGGAGAAGAGGATGTTTATAAAAATCAGGGAAGAAGTGATGTGGTGGAACAAGCAAGGAGATTTGAGGAGATTGCAGAGTCAAAGCTAAGACAAAAAGTAGATAGAAAGAAACAAGTTATTCAGTCTGGCAGAGGAAATAAAAGTGATATCCTAGAATTACCTAATATCAGAGGGGAAAATGGTGGTAAAATGGATTTGGACTTGGAGCCAACTAGCCGTCAAGCGCACTCAAGTTCTACGGAATCGAGAAAATTAGCGGAATATGAATCTACCGATAAAAGGCACATTAAAGAGAGTTTATTTTCTGCGGCAGGTCTGGTAAACATATGGCTTGTCATAGCATTGACTAGTAGCGGGGTTTTCATGCTCTTCGGGTTGACCTGTGCTGTATATCGATGCAGAAGATTCAGAGATGAAGGTACTTATGATGTGGATGAAAGTTTGGCATATCGAGACCCAGGCGGAAAATGCTTGAAGCAAAAGAAGGAGACCTCTACAGAAGAAGACACAATTGACTTAAGAGTATTAAAAAAAGAAGGGAACGCCAGAAATCTGAAGGATGTGCAAACTGATTCACATACATTTAAAGTGAGTTAATTATTTTACAAGGAAATACTAAATAGTCATGGAGTCTAGTAATTTTTAAGAGGGATAGCTGTGGTTATTACTCATTCAGATTTCTATATGGTAAAATTAGAAAAGTCTGGCTGATTTATGCTTAAATTATTGCTTTAGGTTAAAGCTAAGAAAGTTGAGTAAACATGTTTTAGGCAGCTATAAATACCAAGTGGTAAGAAGTTTAAAGTCTTAGAAATGATTAGAGCATGAGGGTCTTTGAACTGCACAAAATTTCAACTGTGTATTTGATATTTGCAACGAATAAGAGTCTACAATATCATTTCCCTATTTGAGATGGAACTCGGACCAAATATTTCAAGTATCCTTAACTGATTATCTAATTCACTTGCTTCGATTCTATTAGGTAATGGCTCCTTCATGCTTGGAAGTCTTTCAGTCTGACATTACACCGCTAGTTTTTGACATATATGATAGCAATTGTACATCGATAATAAACCTGAAATGAATGTTTTATATGTAGGAAAGTGCATTCAATAAATAACCATTGTTGATGGCATCATATTATCAAAGACAATATACATAACAAAGACTTTTGACATGCCACCCAGAAGGAGTGACAGAAAGATTTGAAAGAAAAACTCCAGTGCCCCTAGGTCGCATGAAGTAATAAAGGACAGATTGTTGAATTTTCTCACAATTATATGAATTAACTTTTGGTCAGACTTGCTTTCCAAAAGGTATCTTCATTCATGATGGACTACCACTTTAGGCTCGTCTAGGTCTTATTAGTACGCCTAGAGGAAATCGAACACTGGATCACAAATGCAGACACGAATTTCAGTGAAAGTCAGACCCCTCCCACATCAAATTTATGATGGAATTATTGATAAGGCAAACTTGTATTTTGTCATTATAATCGACTACATTATATATATATATATTTATATATAATTATAGCCTTACTACATTCAGTTACTGGCACATTTTATAATTTGGCTAACTATTGTGTCTATCCTACTTACTTACGGAAAAGTGGAGTAACTGCCGATAGCCTGTGAAGCAAGCTTTTTACTCTTGTTCGGCGGCATTGTATGCTTATTATCGCTATTCCAAATCCCAGCCGACAGACATAAACAGATCCTGTTTAATTTCCCACATTAGTTTCTGCTATTCAGGAGGTTGGCCTTTTCGTTGATTGCTATAGAATCTCCATTCTCCGTATCTTGCTAAGCATTTGGCTTTAGAGCAATCTATCTGAAATCCTTTGTAAACCATGTGTTCGGTCTCTGGAATTTTCTGCCCATAAACCTTTGGAGGCAGTCAAATGTTCATTTAGTCTCTTAAATATGAGTCGGCTGATCTTCCCCCCCATAGAACAAAAAAACATATACTGATAAAATGAAATAACTTTGGCAAGAATTTTTCATTTCATACATTCTCCTGATTTCACCTTCATCGGCAATTCGCCTAGTATTTTTGATAGCTGACAAGATAACAACATTATTGCTCTACTCTATCTTGTTCCAAATATAACATTCAATAAATTTTACTTACTAAACTTCTAAAGTAATTTTTAAATGTTTCTAATAGATCAATGTTGTCAGCCAAAATTCTGCTTACTAGCATTAATCCTTGGTCCGAACGATGAATATATGCAGAGCTCGAGCTTCTTAATAGCATGGATTTCATAAATCGTAACTTAGCCATATAATTATGGTTTCAGAATAACTTTAAAGAGAAACCCGCATTTATAAATTTCCTATCTCTAGCCGATTTGGTTCCTTCATAATAAACTTGGCCCTCTGCAAAAAAGACTACATTCCTTTGTAATTCCACTATAAGTTTGGTCGTCCTATCTATTATATTTATTAACATTAATAGATTATATAGGTTATTTTTGCTCTATTGTCAAACGGCAAGTAGTCATACATATACCGAACTGAGTATTTAGGTATTAAAATTGCTTATTGAGATGAGTACACTTCAGATTGAGCCATGGAGATTTTCGTATCTTTTATCTACAATACTTCAAAAGGATTATATAACTATTGAAATCGTGTAAGTATTCAAGCCGTTTTAATAATTGATAAATATCGCTTGTTTCAAATTATATGAGGTTTATGAAGTAGTAATGGACTTTGCGATATGGATCATGTAAATAAATCCTTGGTTCACCGTTCTATGACTTCTGTGAATATGTGTTGAAGTGTATTCTGAAATATGAATGAAATCTTTAGTGACAAGCGAAAAGACTCTCCAAATACAATATGCCAAAAAGGTGTCTGGCTGCAATCACATTAACGTTTTAACCATGATTTTGGGGTCATAATGAGGTATCCCGTATTTTCATTGGTTATCTCTGACTTACTCTATATTTTTGAGGATAAGAGAATTAGATGCATGAATAGCAAGAGAATGTGTGGAATGCCCTATGCATTTGTTTTGTAAATAGATTGTCTTAACCACCAGTATATTATATATATGAGATATACTCACACTAGAATCGGTAACCACTATGTCACCCTGCCAAGATGGCCCTTAGGTTATAGGGTTGATATTAATTTCAAGGAAGGCCTATATACAATTATATGCTGAGATTGTCTTTAAAGCAAACTTGAATTTGGTATGGCGCTAGACTACATAACTTATTTTTTATTTAATAAGAAGGTTTTCTGGACTACCAGTAGATCATATATATGAGAGATATTCACCTTATTTCGTTTCCTAGGCAGGGTTTAAACGGCATTCCACTTTAGATGAGAATACCTTTTTGGCAAGCAAGGATCTGCGAAATTCAATGATGATTCAAT